GGCCGTGGCTCCAAGAGACTGGATATAGTGTTTCATGAACTCAGACCGTTGTCAAGAGCTGTAGAGCTGGAAGAAATTTAAGGTGATTCAGGATTATTTACCGAGAGACGTGAACGAAGATGTAAAAGATGGACAGTGGTGTGAGGGAACTTGAGTGGTGACAGAGTTGTGGGGGCAGATGACACCCCAGGCTGCTCATACTGTGGAAGGCTAGGTATTCTTGATTTGCCCGAAAAAGAAGGGTTAGTGAGCGACCACAGAGCTTATGGGAAATCTGCTTGCGGCGCGTCACACATGCCTTTTGCAGAAGTTTGAGATTTTGGTTTGTTATTTTCGTAGCTAACTATGAGCCGAGGTAACCACCACCAGTGCCACGGGGTAGAGGTGAATGTGCTACTCTGAAGGTCGACTTGTTCTAACTTCCCTATCTATATGGAAGGCAGATTCGAAACAGTACTGCTGATCATGTGCGGGAAACTTTTGAGTGCTGCCACACTCTTGTCCAGTCAGCAGTTCGACTTCGCCCTCAGACCGCTATCAGAAGGTAGCAATTTACGCTATTATGCTAACTGCTTTTCATCTCACCTTCATCCAGATGAGCTTTCTAGTATGGCAAGATCTCGGGGAAACAAGCGTTCCACCAGCATAGCTCCTAGAGTCATTGTGATATCCAAACCTGACCACCACGTCAAGGTAACAACTATCGGTTGGGTGATTTTTATTTAAGGTGCTGTGAGCCATTGTTTCCTCTTCCCGACTGTTTTTGCTAGGAAGATGAAAACACAACCTCCGTCTTTATACAAAGAACTTATCCGGATATATTTTGTACCACACAGAGTTTCATAACTGAAGTAACTTCATGAGAATGGTAGTGCTTACTAAGGTTACTAGTGGTAAAATCGGCACAAAATCGCCTTCTCTAACTAGTCTGGTGAATGATCACTTTGCAGTAGGGTCTACTTCAACTTTGTTGAAGAGCTCAATGTTGAGAAATATTGAGCTCATACATCTTCTTGATATTCTGAAACAATAACCGTGTCGTTTTAATCACCTGTGAAAAAGTCTTCATTTTCTGTTACGATTATACTATCAAACACCTAGCTCAACGTTTTGCAGCTCCAACAATAGTTGCAAGGTTCAGCTTGGTTGTCATTAGGTCGATAGTATACAATATGTTTCACTGTCCTTCATTGTGTCGTCTCTCGACAGTTTTCGGTGGTTTCTCTAGACAAAGTATCAATTCATATATAGCTGGAGTTCAGAAACGTTGTTGGAAGCTTTCTTCTTAAATCCAGTCTTGCTAACTCTATAAGCCATTAATATCTTCCATAGACCTCTACAGGATCGACGTCAGGACTGGAAAAGTTGCACTTAGAAGGATCACCTTGTTGGTCTACTAAACCAATTATTTTGCCAGGTATTTGCTGCATTTGTTACACTGAAAAGTATTACACTTTTAGATCTGCTACATGTAGTACGGTGAGACGTAGTGCAAATTTTCATGGTTTAAGATTGCAATCTACCTAGTTTTCTCGTGAAACGCTGAATATTTAAAGTTAACATCGCAAGTAGAAGTGTTTAAAAGGTAGAAACTTTGGATAATGACCACTTTGAGTAGCCTATACAACTGGCTGAACTGTAGTTGTGCAGAAGCAAAAACAACCTACCTTACCCTAAATCTCAAACGCTTAAATAATTCGCACTTGGATATCTAATTTTTTTTACCTCCTTTTTCACCTTTTTCTTCCCTTATCTGTTCTTGTAGTTCACTTCATAACTAACCATTACAGTCTTTTCTTCACATTTTTTTTTGATTTTCCTTTGCCATGGTGGTTTCAAATGTAGTGACCAAGTAGTAGGCAACGGTGCTGTTCTATACCACTTATTTGTGTAACTGCATAGACTCGATAGCGTAGTATTGTTGCACAACTTTAGCTGAGTATGCTCGGAAGACTGTAGTGAACACCCTAAGAGAGACTTGAGAATGAAAGTAAAGCTCATGAAGAAGGAATGTGCTACAATCACCCGACAAACTCGAGCCTGACAAGTTCACTGGTCTAGATGAGCTACATTCGTGCATATTATCAGAGACATGAGAATGTTTGGGATGCATTTCTCGGCACCCAAATGCAAATTGCTGCTTCACAACGAGCTTTCAGTTACATCCCAACCCAAAAAAAGAAAGTGAAATGGTCGAGTGCGTCGAACATCTAACTTACGTGGAAAGTTGAATAAGCCTTGATGGCTCCATGGTCGACGAAATCTCTGCACACTATCGGTTGGCTTTTCCCAACTTACGCCATCTGTCCCGCCGCCAAGATATCTGGTTGTCTATTAAGAGCCGAGCGTACTCCACTGCAGTTCTCCCTGTTCTACTCTACGGCTGTGAAACATGGCCATTAAAGGTAGAAGACATGAGAAAGCTTCACGTGTTCGATCACTTTTGCCTTCATAGAATAGCCTGTATGTTGACCAAGGTAGGTTCGGGTTGGAAAAAGGCTCGAGCTGATCAGTCTAAAACATGGCATCAATGCATGAAGTCCTTGACTGTTCGTTTGAGCCGTGTAGGGTAATGCAGACCAGCAGGATGAGGTCCGTGGGACAAGGGAAGCCAGTGGTCCGATATTCTAGGTGGTATGGCTCAGAACCGATGTCAATGACACATACATTATCTTCATCTTAACCGCTATACCTGACCTCATCATTTTCTCATTTCTTCTTCCTCTCTTTTGCTACATTCTACTTTTGATCGATGTTTCTTCCTCCCTAATCTTTCAATTCATTCCCTTTCTGCTTGATGTGCTGATATGAAGTGAGGCAACGTGGATAGCTAAGCAGTAATTCTGGGCCTTCAGTTGATTTTGATGATGATTATCAGAACAGGCAGATATCATCATAAAGTCCTTGTCTGTCTAGTTTAATGTCATCGACCCAGTCGCAATCATCAAGGGACTAGAAGGAAGCTATTATCAGCCAGCTTAACATAAATGAGCTTGGATATTTATTCACTTACTGTAGTTCAGTAAGTGCGACCAGCACGCTTGCCAAGACACTGGAAAAGACCATCCACGGGAAGTTCTAAAATAAGTCTAATGGAATAGACGTCTGGCTGGCAAAGAACATGGCTAGAGGACTAATTTCTTATGCTTGAATAACCTAGTTGCAAAAGGATAGTGAACTGATTCCAGTGAAAAAGTACCTACTGATACATTGCTCAATGATTTCAGTAAAACATTCGATAAGGTTTCATATCCAAGACTATAAGTGATGTTATGATTGAAGATGGATAGGAAAGTGAGAGACGCGGTAAAGGAATTTATTGATGACAGAATAAAACTGAATTTCATGGGATAATATCCCCATGGAAAGTAATGAAAAGTGGCATACCAAAAGGTACAATCCCTGGTTTTCTGCTGATCATCGAACAACAGATAAATGTTAGATCATGTCGCATATCTGCAGGTGATGTGAAAATCTGAACAGCCATGCACAGTCACCTAGACTAATTCTGCAAGAAAACCTGAACATGTTACTTGGGTGGTTTAGCAGGTGGTAGTTGGAAAAACATTAATAAGAGTGCTTATCAATCATGACACAGGGCTACATCAAAACATGCTATTACCCAAGGTTTCTGGGGATTAAGACTAATAAACGCAACACAAAGCACTCAGCTACCTTTTGTACATTTGTGCATCAGGCAATAAGCCACACCTATTGTGTGAGGGCTAATAATACTACTTGGTTTCTCAAATCTCAGTAGGGGGAGCGGGACTCGAAACAGCTGTAAACGAGTACCTTAAAACCATATCAAACTACAGAACAACAGCTGCCAAAGCTTTTGAGTCTTAATACCGCTTAGTAAGGCCTGACTGCCTTTATGACTTATTTCGGATATTATATATAATGTATAAACAACGTAACCAGACCTAATTTCGGATATGGTATCAATACATTGAGCCCATCTTTTAAATACCAAGCAGGTATATTAGCTCAACAATTAGGTACTAAGATGGTCAGGCTCGCATAACTTCCTCTGCAAGCAGCGAGCAGACCGACTTGACTTATTTCCAAAATCGTACTGCAGGTTAAAAAGAAGACCCCATACAAACCAACCAAATTCTAATTCACTGCTTAAGCATAATCAAACACTGCTGTTTGTTTGGCTCCCCCGAGAACTGGCCGCCTGAGAAGATATCTAGTCAGCAAATCGATTTCTAGTTCCGAATTGTGAATCTGTAGAATTCTTCGCCAGAGTAAGTTGTTTTCGCACTTCTTGGGGACAATTTTGCGGATAAATTAGGTTTCCAGAAGACTAAACATCACAAGGATTAAGAAAGGATACTTGATTTGCTATTCTTACTTTGGAGAACTTAACTAAGTCGGAAAGCAATGTCTATTTCTCAAAACTCGAGTTCGCCTACATTAAGAAACAAGAGGAAATAGATTAGCCACAGTGAATTCCATCTTTTAGTTTCTGATTAAGAACATATGCTCCAAAAAGACTATCACCACTAGATGTCTCGAAGTCAAGAGATTCAGTACCAAGCGAAAAGTTTGAACATTACTCATTATTTAATCACAGCAATATATGGCTACAGCTACAATATACTCTAGAAATAGAATATCCACGACTACCATAAGATGGCCCAAAGAACCATAACAAACCAGAAACTATCAAAAAACTAAGGGGTTGCCAAACCAGGATACCCAACCGATAATGGCACTGAACCTACTTATTCTGCTTCTCAAGAAGTGTCGGTCGTAAGTCAGATGCGAAAAATGTTCGTAGCCCGGCAAGGATTACACAGTAATATACACTGAATTATTTCATACTGTATGACTCACTTTAAAAGGAATTAAAGCCAGGAACAAAACAGAAAAACAAGATTAACTGGCTAATAACGAAATATCGAGCAGTAACGCACATTTTAAGCAAGGCGGGCTATAATTATGATATATATTCAAAAAAACATGTTCTCAAGTTGCTATTGTCCAGTGTTTTATGTCAAACGCTTGGTTAAATTGTATCGTTTCCTGCGCCTAAAAATATCCAGTCTTTTCTTTCTTTTCGACCAGTACTGTAGGTCCGTATCTGTAGGTGCATAATAATCATAGTAGTCCGGCGTATAAATGTCACCATATTCTCTGCCTGAGTGATTTATCCCGTCATAGTTATTCCTGTATAATTCTTGAAGAAACTTAAGCCACTTTGGAAAATACTGGCCGTTGTAAGGTTTTGGCAAAAAGCCCGCAGGAAATAGATACTGTAACAATATTTCTGGAGGGGGCATGATTATGTAGGGTAAAATAGATGTTTGAGGTATCTGTTGAGTTACTGGAGGAACTGAGGGAGACGTTGGAGGAGAGATTGGAGTTACTGAAGGTCCACCTTGCACACCTGGTACAACTGGTGACAATCCATTAGGTGCTAATCCATTACTTGGGGGTATAGCAGGAACCGGAATTGGGGGTGGAATCGCTCCAGGAATAGGACTAACAACTGTTTTTTCAGAATAAGTAATGCTCCCAGGAAAATATGGTCTTCCAGAATATGGTGTGGGCAAATAGCTGGAATACCCAAACTGTGTGCCATATCCAGGGTAAAAATTAATTACTGAAGATGCTGGTTGGATACCTTCTACTTGGCTTTCAGTCGACTGGTCCATATCACCTGCATTTGGTGTTGTAAGAGACACTGTGTTTTGCATAGGTATGAATGATTGTGACTGATCAGTTGCAGAACTCGTCATGACTGATCCTATTTGTGCACTTTGAGTTGCATCTCCAGGTACACTACCACCCAATAGAGTTGAGAAATCCATACTCGGATTCATTGGACCCTGTTGCAATATTTGCCCACATGAAAGGCATACTGATGTAACTATGATACTTAGCCTCAAAAATAATTCTGCTGCCACGTTTCGAAACATAGATAACCTTTACCTGCAAATCAAATTTAAAATATGGTCTGACCTATTTAAGGTGAATTCATGAACTATATTCAGTAAATCAACTGCCTAGAATTCTAGTCAAAGCGATTGATGTTCACTATCAAAATTGTGATTGGTTAAATTTATTATTGATTTGAATAATTGTTATTTAAGTATCAACCTTCATTGATTTCAAAGCACATTAAAATCATAAAATGGAGATTTTAATTGTTCAAACAGGTGGTAAGAGCTAAACATATTTGAGTCAATAAATAAATCTACTAGGTACAATTGATAAATGTTATCCCAAAAATATTGGAGGTTATGCATTTGAATTTGGAGATAGTTATGCCAAGGAAATATGTGAAAAATATACGATAGCGAGATATTTAAAATTTCATTTAGTCAGGCCTTTTTTAAAGGACAGTTTAGAAATTTCACTTGAAAATAGATCTGAACTTGCTAATTTATTGATCAATTCAAAGTATGAGAAGGTAATTAGGCTGAATTTACCCTAAGTGTTACGCATTATTATTATTCTTTAAAGATACTCATAACTCATGGAACAGATACAATGATTGAAACCGGTGAATATCTAACTACGTTTAAAGATCAACTTAAGAATAAATGCATTGTGCTAACAGGTATGTTGAAGTTTGGTTTTGCTTTTTAAAATATTTTTCTTTGGAATTCAAGTCTCAGTGGGAGAAACATCACTGACTGGGCTGCAGGTGCATCCAGCTGACGAGTCTTAGATAGGACGAAACATACGTCCAAACGAACCACCCACCCCTTACCAATGAGTCCTCAGTGCGGATAATAATTTTTCAAGCAGTACTCCTAAATTCAATGAAGTAACAAGGTCTTACACCTTGATGGGAATGCTAAAGTCTTGTATGCCTACACTAGATTATACAATCCATTATTTCCATTGGATAATCAATTACTTGGGAATAGTAACATACCATGATATAGTACATAGATGTGAATCAGTGTGTTTTTTAATAAGTATGAATGTGGTCACTGATACCTGAATTCCTGTATCTTCCTACACTTAATTCAATATGATTTATTACGGACTTTTCAGCCAGGCATACGTCATTTCATCATGGACTGACATCAGTTGGGGAGCAACTGAAAATCTGAGAGCACTGGACAGCTGTTTCGTCCTAGTATAGGACTCCTCAGCAGTAACACCCACCCCCGGCCGTGGCTTATGGGGTCAACCAGCCGGATGTGAAGTGGATGCTAACTGAAGACCTTAGGTGATAGTCACGCTATGTCGTAAATTGACAGAAGTTGGAAATTGTGAACCACTGGAAACCGACCCGGTGGCTGGATGGTTAACACGTTCGCCGTGAAACCTGAAGGTCCTGAGTTCAACCTGTAGCCGGGTTGTGGGTGTGTACTGCTGAGGAGTCCCATACTAGTTGGACGAAAGAGCTGTCCATTGCTCCGGGGTTTTCAATGGCTTCCCAACTGATGTCAGTCCATGAGGAATACTACTTCTAAATTAAAAATCCCAATTCATCTCAAAAATAATTAAGTCATTTCATCTTACAGTTACTAAATTTTTGAAAAATAGGTTCTTATATATATACAGAGAAAGAGAGACCTTACATAGTTCTAATTTTCTTGCCTATTTTATGATAAAGTTGATGGCATTTTTCATGTATATATCCAGAACAGGTGCTGCGTCATTCATGCTACATATATTTGATGTGGATTCCATACACAACGATTCGGTTTTCAAAGTCTAAGCAAATCAGTGTGCCTGCATACATAGCTAGCTATAACTGACCTTTTTTCTAGAATCCTCATCTTCCTAAGATCTAAAAACCTTAATTTACGTGAGTTTTTATGCTCAGATAATCCAAATGGACTTGGTCGACTACTTTGACCTACGTATTCCTCACTGAAATCATTACAAGCAATTTCGCACACTCACCTGATTTGCTAAATTGAACCAGTTTAATATTTCGATCCACGAGGCTCATTTCGAACTGAGTTCGTGAGGTCAAATGCCACTCTAATAAACAGACCTATTGGGGATCTTATGAAACATCTCCAAGTTGCCTTCCTTGTATGGTAGGTAATACGGTAGAGGTTTTGAATTCTTCATTCTCGTATTGTCACTGCTACTATTATTATTATTGTTACATTATTATTATTATTACTACCACTATTAGCCATATTTTTCTGACAACTGCTAGTGAATTTACTGATCAGTTAAGCAGGACAATTTTTGGTGGGTATCCTCAGTGTATCTGAGTTCTTGTCTCAAATCTCCTATCTCACCAGTAAATTTCTTCATGGCCCCGTTATTATTTAGACATTTTGCTCCTTCTATTCTAACTGACAAGGTAAGATGATTTGAAGTCTAAGCAACGATTCAAGTGTGAAGGTTTTCCGTAGACACCAGTGTCCAAACAACCTTCAAATTAACTTAGATGGAGGGAGAGATTAATAACTGAGTGTTTCCCTATCGAATCAACAGTAAATAGGTGTGACAGGTATGATTCAGCACCTGTTCTACAAATATAGAAAGTCCTACTACTTATATGAGGATATTCCGAAATTGTGGAGCTGTCGTGATATGGCTAGGGAGAGTGAATTGTGAATTGGATTTGGGAGTTTGTGGCGAGGTGAGGTGAGATGAGTTGAGGTGAGGACAAATACTCAACGATGACATTGTGAACTGAGAGAAGTTGGAGACATGGACCATTGGATTCCCACCGAGTGACTGAATGGTAAGGTGGTGGTCACTGAACCTGACGTTCTTGGGTTGGATCCCTGGCGCACTTTTGAGGAGTTCCATATTAGTGGGATGAAACAGCTGTCCAGTACTCCCATGTTTAGAAGTTTCTCGAATGAAAATAACGAGAGGAGTAGTAATCCGAACAGAGGAACTTTAACATTGTCAGCTCAGTTAGTTATGAGAATTCGATGTGAACAGAAGATGTTGCGATTAAGTAAGAGTGAAGAAGTAACCAGCCATCTAAGGTTGATAAAGAATGACTTAAGCAAATAAGAGTCAAAAAGGTTATTAGAATTGACAGAGGTTCATGTGTTTGTTTGTTGTAGCCTCAGCAAGCTTCTGAGGAATTGAGCTTGTATGTTCGTTTATTATGTTGGAGGAATTGAAATTGTATGTCTGATGTCAAGTGTTAATCAGAGGGTGAGTGATATCACTGCTCAAAGTGTTACTTTTTAATGGAAGAATAGAGAGAAAGGCGTATCTTGCATTTTCTGATTATCATATACTATTTGTCCCTTAGGTTCCTAGTGGAACATAGGGCCTTCGGTAGCACATCACCATTTCACTCTCTTCTCTACAGTCTTACCAACATGGCTGCACGACTCCCCATAGCCTTTCATTTCTTCTTCACAACATCTCCTCCATGTCACCCTCACCTCAGATGCCCAACTCACCGTTTCCCATTTGCCTTCCACTCGACAGCCTCAACTGACACGTGATATCCTCAAACGGTCTCCTCAGTGTATGTCCAATCCAATCCATATCCACTTTCTTCCCCTACATATATTTGTTGGGCAGTAGGTTCTTGGTTGGTTGGTTCGTTGCCAGGCCAGAGTGAGTTGTTGTTGCTTATTCTTATTATTTTGGCCATCTGAGCTGATCTGATCTTCAGTATCGAGTGAGCTGAATGCAGAGCAGTGGACCTCCACAGGTTAATGAAGGCCTGTCTTGCTGTTTTTCTGTTCCTCGCTTTGATGTCCTCATCTGTACCGCCACTTGTAGTTGAACCGATGCTGCCTAGGTAGGTGATTGCATTTTTTGAAGGCATTCCGAAAAGTTACCGACCACATTTTTAACTTAAATAATCATGTTAAGTATGTGCTTGTGTCTAACATCCACAGTCTTAAAATTTCAAGATGAAAATGATGTGTGAACAGACAGATGGAGCAACAATGACGCCTCCATAATCACTAATCGTGGCAGACATATTTATAGACATCTGAGAACAAATTTACGTAAGGCATATTCCAACCCACTAGAAAAGTATGCTGGCAACACAGATTACATATGTACTGTGCTGAAATCAAAACATATCCAGTGTTCTTTCATCAAGGTCAACTTAACAGTATGCTGCATTCAATCCATTTATGAATTTCATGTTAACTTGTTTGTTAGATTTTCATACATACTGAAACAATACTACTTATTAAATAATGTTTAGAATAAAATTTATTGTTCAAATTGATAGATATGGGTTAACTTTACCCATAGCATAATTTCTTTAATAGACATTCAACTTTTATTATTGGGTTCATTCATAGTTGGTGATGAACTCATATCTGACTGCTTTAAATGTCATACCAGTTCGCACATCGAAAATAACCTTTCTTCTTCCTTCGTTAGTTTCACATTAGCTGGTCTCTGTTTCAAATGGAAGAAATTAGTTAGCCTAGACTTTGAGCTATTTCTAATGGGGTATGCATGATATTGTTGCCTAATATTTAGATAGCTCATATGTGCTAAGTATTCACCTACCTATTGAAGGAGGAGCATATTGAGTAGCAGTGTTTTCTGTCCTGTTATACGGCTATGAAACATATCCGTTAAAAGTAGAAGACATCAAGTGGTTACAAGGTTTTGATCATAAGTGTCTTCGTAGCATTGCCCGAGTTTAGTTGAACTAGCATATGAGCAATGTAGAAGGTTAGTCAAGCGATACTAAGCAAGGAAAGTAAGTCAGTCGATGAGTTTTACGAATATTCATTGACTAAAGTGTCTTGAGCATGTATTACGTGTGTCGAGTCACCGTCTATTTCAACGTACAATGTTTGGGGAAGTTAGCTCAGATTGGAAAAGGTTTCAGAGTGGTCAGACTATAAGACGTGGTACCAATCTATGAAGTCCATGACTGTTGGTCTAAGCCGTGTAGGAAGGTGTAGACTATCTGAATGGAGTCCTCGAGACGATGGGAATCAATAGTTGAGGACTCTTGGTGAAATGGCTGAAATTCCCTTGCCTCACATACACTTTTGTCTGCTATGATATCAGTCTTTTCCTACTCACCTGTTCTTAGTATACTACTGTGAAGTCTAAAAACTTGAATCTATGCACCGTGATGGGCCTACATTGAATCTGTCTAACTCATATCTTGGTGTGTTTCTAAGGTAAAATATCGACCCGGTCGGATAGACAACCTGATTAATAAGTCGTCTTAATAGTATCATATATTCTACTACGACTATGCCTGGTAAGAACTGAATAGAACCACTGAAACTAGTGCAGAGATGGTTTCATTCGGTGTCTACAGGTTACTTAACTGCTTCGTTTGAAGTATACTAAGTGAAATCTACTTCATCCAGATGGATCAAATATTGTCAAGAACTAAGAGGTGGAGAAACCTAAGACTGGGTCACTTTCTGTTGATTACTGTCTACAGAATATGCATAAAACCTGTTTCAGTATTGATCACTTACAAAGTGATCAGTAAGCCTCCTTTCGATTTATATCATAACTAAGTGTTTCATCAGTAGCTTTATCATGAGGCTGTCAACAAAATCAGTAAGCTAGTGGTTTAAATATCCAAATGTGCTTCAATGGTGTTATTTTTTGTATCGTTCTATTGCTTGTAGATTTAATTGTATAGTAACGATGAATAGTTGTTAGCAG